GTAAAAAAAAAAAAAAAAAAGATTTAAATCAAGTCTTAATGCCTAGTGATTTAAATCAACTCTTACTGGCTGGTGATTTAAATCAAACCCACCTTGCCCAATGGAAGTGCTGACGGCCACCAACTTAGATGGCTTTAAGAGAGGATTGGACAAATTCGTGGGGGAGAGGGCGAACAATGGTTGCTGTGTTCTGCCTTCTCAACTGTAGGCAAGATGGCTTCCGAATACCAGTTGCTGGAAGCCACCTGCTTGGCCACTGTGAGAACAGGATTCTGGACTAGATGGGCCGTTGGCTTGATCCAGCAGCCTCACCTTATCTTCTCGTGTGTCATGGCTAGTAGCTATTGACGGCGATACCCTCCACGAATTGGCCTGATCCTCTTCAGAAGCCATCCAAGTTGGCCAAGAGCAATGCTATGCAGAAATGGCGGTGAAGCCCAACTAGAATTGGTAGCCATTGTCAGTGCTTTTTTTCTGGGGGCACGCATACTCCTAAACATTTTGTGAATCTAATGGGAGAAGAAACTATTTTTAATTTTTTAAATTTTTAGTTCCTTCTTTAGCACGGTGAATCGTCAGTTCCGTTGCTACACCTGATGGCGGCCTCATTTCCTGTCACGGTGCTTCCTGAGTCTCAGACGGAAGTGAGCGTTTAATGTGTGAAGTAGTGTGGAATGTGTGGTGTTTTATGAGGTAATGCATGTTTTTGGTACTTTTGTCCATTTACTGTATTTATTTGTAACCACCAACCATCATTTTGGGGAGCTTTCAAATGCAGGGGGTGGTAACTGTGGATTTGGGAGCATGTCTGTCACCGAGTCGTCATTAGGATTGTTCGTTCACGGAAGCATTTGAGTGACTGAGTACATTTCCGAGCACAATTCAAAGTGTTGGTGCTGACCTTTAAAGCCATAAATGGCCTTGGTCCTGTATACCTGAAGAAGCGTCTCCACCCCCATCGTTCAGCCCGGACACTGAGGTCCAGCGCCAAGGGCCTTCTGGCGGTTCCCTCACTGTGAGAATTGAATTTACAGGGAACCAGGCAGAGGGCATTATCGGTAGTGGCGCCCGCCTTGTGGAATGCCCTCCCATCAGATGTCAAGGAAATAATCAACTACAGTGGTACCTCGGGTTAAGTACTTAATTCGTTCTGGAGGTCCATACTTAACCTGAAACTGTTCTTAACCTGAAGCACCACTTTAGCTAATGGGGCCTCCTGCTGCTGCTGCACCGCCAGAGCACGATTTCTGTTCTCATCCTGAAGCAAAGTTCTTAACCTGAAGCACTATTTCTGGGTTAGCGGAGTCTGTAACCTGAAGCGTATGTAACCTGAAGCGTATGTAACCTGAGGTACCACTGTATCTGATTTTTAGAAGACATCTGACGGCAGCCCTCTTTAGGGAAGTTACTATGTTTTTAATATTCTGTTGGGAGCCGCCCAGAGTGGCTGGGGGGACCCACCCAGATGAGTGGGGTATAAATAATAAAGTATTATTATTATCGACACCCCTCCCTGTTCAAGAGTTATTAGTGGAGAGAAAAGGACATTCTTCTGAAATCTAACAACAAAACCAGAAGCCACTCATCATTCTGCCCCTCCATAATGCAGAGGGAAACTTTATTCTCCATTTCAAGGGCAGTATTAAAAATAAATACATGATGCAAAGAGACGTGGCCATCCTTGAATCAGAAAGAGGAAAGTGTGGAGCAAAGTGGAGGCAGAAGAGAGAGAGAAAGATCTGGCACAAGAGAGCGGGAGAAAGCAAAAGGTGGTGAGGCAACGAGACAAGCAGAGAAACTTGGGAAAGACGGGGAGAAGGAACCCTTATGAGACATTTATATACTATATATCTATAGCACCGAATGCTTTATAATCCTTCTCTCATCCATCATCACAACAATCCTCTGAGGTAGGTCCTTAATGTTTGCAGGGGAGAGGGTGAATTGCTTGTAGCAACCCAGTGGGTTCGGAGAGGGAAGCTAAGAATTAAACCCTGCTCTTCTGCATCGAAGTCCATTGATCCAATCCTGCAACTGCAAAACCCACCTGGGAATAGGCTTCCATGGGTGGATCTGCTGTGCTTGGTGTGGACTCCCTGCTCACCCAGCCTGTTTGAATGACAGAGAACCACACCCAACAACCTGGTAATGCGCACCCAACTTCCCTGTATGACCCCCCTGTGTTCAGATTCCAGGGCACAATAGCGGAGACATTTTGTCAGCATCAGTGACTGTCAGGAGAGCATCACGATGCTGGCTGTAAAATTTCAACCGAATTTGGCAACTTTCCCCCAATGTGTGTTACAAATTTTAAATTATCTGAGGAGCCCAAACACTTCTCTTTTTGGATTGGGTGGAACCCCGATTCTTCCCACTGAATGTGAGCTGGCGCTATCCAAAGTAGAAATCCACATAAGAATTCACCCAGCCAAACATCCAGCTTAGAAAGGCGCAGGCATTCACATTTGAAATTCCGTATTCCCTTCCTCTCTTACAAATTTCACATTCTGCATAAACAGCTGGTTTTGGACTACAGTTCCCATCATGCCTGACCACTGGCCCTGCTAGCTAGAGATGATGGGAGTTGTAGTCCAAAAACAGCTGGAGGTCCCAGGTTTGGGAAACCCTGCACTAGATTGACCAAAGAGCCACTTCCTGGCTGAGCCATCAGGGCAAGTCCTTCCCCCTCACCTCCCTTTTCCTCCATGGTGGTTGATGCTACTGGCAAGTACATGAGGCTGGCATCCCCCAAAGCATCCCAGCTAGGTTTCAAAGATGCCTAAATGAGTGGTTGACCAACCAGTGTTTGCTTATGGTGGCCTGGACTGAACAATTCAAAAGAGAAAGCTGCTACTGGAAATAATGGGAGAGGCACCTCAGTACATCATGTTCCTTTTAGCTTCCTTCCGAATACAAATTTTAGAGACTTCGGTGATCGTCCTGGGCAGGCACTGTGCTGCACCCATTGCCAGCGATCTGGTTTGATCGTGGAGCACCTGCTTCCCTTGTGGTCCCTCCTAATCTGTCCACGAGAAAGAGGTTGTGCTCCTAGGGGATGCTCTGAGCCAAGTCTAAGAGCAGGCAGAGGGGCCCATTCTTAGCGGTTGTGCTGCCACTTCCTTCTGCCAGAGACTTCGCCAAATCTTTGAGCCCGAGCTACCCGGTCGCGCTCAAAGGCAATAGTTTGGGTTTTGCTGGCATTAAATCAAGTTGATCTAACTCTCGGGTGCTGAGATCACAGAGAAGGTCCTCTTGCTGTTTCCTCTGCCCTTAGAGACTCAGAGTGGCAGTGGCCCAGGCATTCTCTACGGCAGGGATGTCCAACTCCCAAGAGACTGTGATCTACTCCTGCTGTAAAGACACTGGCAGTGATCTACCCATTGGATTGACCAAAGTTATTGAGCGTTTTTTTGGGGAGAGTCAATCCATCACTATCACGCGATTGATCAGGAATGCCTCGTGATCGACCGTTGGACATCCCTGCTCTACGGCAACCCCCAAGCGGTGGAGTTCCCTCCCGCCCCATAGAGGGTTGTCTGTTGCCTTTGCCGAAGACGTAACTCTTTCTCCTGGCTTTTAACACTTGAGAGGCGTATGTTTGTAGGACCCACCTTCTTTTTATGGTTCTAAGTTGTTTTTGATATTGTTTTTAATGCTGTAATCCACCCTGGGACCTTAGGGTGAAGGATGAGTAGTAGTAGTAGTAATAGTAATAATAATAATAATAATAATAATAATAATAATAATAATAATAAATAATAAAATAATAATAATAATAATAATAATAATAATAATAATAATAATAATAATAGGTCTTTGATAGAACTGTGGCACCCAGTCCATTAATTATTTTAATAGAATCAGGGCTGTTTTAAAATAAAATACATGTAGTTAAAAGATGAGGGCAGCAGACCACATGAGCTCCAGTGGGTTGGCATGGGATCTCCAGTTTGCCTCCCTAACCTGGTAGAGTTGAGTTGTGCAAACCGAGTTCTTGTAGGCAACTGCTCTTTTGAATACTCTGCGTCAGCTAGAAATGGTAGCACCGAGAGGGTGGGGGGCCTTCTGCTTGTCTTGGCGGGGGGGGGGGGAGGGCTGGCAAATGCCCCACCGTGTCATTTTTCCTCAAGGCAACCCTGACACCAGGCACCACGTTAGAAGAGGAAGACAGAACTGGGGAGAAGCATTTCCTCATTCCTTCTCTGAGGAAAAGGGATGCCTCTTCTAATACGGCTGCCTTGTGCCTTACACCAGGAATGGGGTCCCTGTGGCACCTCTAGCTGTTGACCATGGGCTATTGCTGACTGGGGCCGATGGGAATTGTAGTCCCTCAACATCTGGAGAGCCAAAGGTGACCCCCTGCTTTTAGTTACAGGTAGGTAGCCATGTTGGTCTGCCATAGTCAGAACAAAATAAAAAAATTCCTTCCAGTAGCACCTTAGAGACGAACCAAGTTTGTTATTGGTATGAGCTTAAGTGTGCATGCACACGAAAGCTCATACCAATAAGAAACTTAGTTGGTCTCTAAGATGCTACTGGAAGAAATTTTTTTATTTTGTTTCCCCTGCTTCTAGATGGTGTTTAAAGGTAAAGGACCCCTGGACAGTTAAGTCTGACCTAAATTCGACTAAATTTGAACCGCTGACCTTCTGATCGGCAAGCCCAAGAGACTCAGTGGTTTAGACCGCAGCACCACCTGCATCTCTCTTTCCCCCCGACGTGGGTGACACTGTGGTCTAAACCACTGAGCCTATTTTAATCCCTGTGATGGGGTGAGCTCCCATTGCTCTGTCCCAGCTCCTGCCAACCTAGCAGTTCAAAAGCATGCCAGTCCAAGTAGATAAATAGGTACCACTGTGGCGGGAAGGTAAACGGCGTTTCTGTGTGCTCTGGTTTCCGTCAGGGTGTTATGTTATGCCAGAAGCGGTTTAGCCATGCTGGGCACATGACCCAGAAAGCTGTCTGTGGTCAAACGCCGGCTCCCTCGGCCTGAAAGCGAGATGAGTGCTGCAACCCCATAGTTGCCTTTGACTGGACTTAACCGTCCAGGGGTCCTTTACCTTTTACCTTAGATGGTGTTTGCTGTGGTCTGTGCAACATCACCCAGCAGCAATGGAGGAGGGTGGCAAAATCTTGAAAAGGCATACTCTCTGGTAGGCATAAGAAAGGAGGAAGCATATGCCTTCGTTTAAGTGGAAATTGCCAACTCGCCAGCACAGCATGAGGATGCAGAATCAGGAGCTGGCTTCCTCCTTGCTTTCTTCTCATCACCACGGAAATTAGATTTGGGGTTTCCGGGCCCCCGGGGGGTGATAGATCTGAGTTAGAGCGCTGTGATCCCCGCCCCACCTTTCAGTGCCTCCGTCCCACTTGGCTTTATGCAAATGCCGACCATTTGTTTTAAGTTCCTCGTACTAAACAAACTGAGATTTCTTCTAAATGGAGTGACAGCGCTACTAATTTATTTGGGTCGCATTTGTTTCCTGCACTGCTCCTTGCCCCCAAGCCCTTGGTTGCTTGATGGATATTCTATAGAAGCAGATAAATTATATTCAGAGGCCTCTGCTAGAAAACTTTACCCGTCAAGGTAGCTAGGACTTGGCCATAACAAGGTCAGAGGAGGGGGGCGGCTTAGGGACAATTAAATGGGGGAAAGAAGGGGAAGCCAGGCTCTCCCATCTATATACCAGGGAACTGAAAGGGCAGTGTATGATTCAGCAAGGGCCCTTTTGGAACCCGAAATGTTCTAGTAATTCAATCCACTTTTCCTGTTTCCAATCCAGTGGGTGGAGGGACATGAAGCCCGAAGTGATGTCTTTTGGGAGCCATTATGGTCAGCAGACTAAGTGATCTGATCCATCCTTTATTCCAGGGGTGATGAACCTCTGACCATGGGCCAGTTGTGGCTCACCAGGAATCCCAATTTGGCCTGCAAGTCGATTCTCCTTGAAACCATGCCCATCCAACCTACATCTGACATCATATGTGATTTCAGGTGTGGGGTGGATGTATCTTTGAAGGAGCTTAAAGTGAGCTCCTAAGTGTCCCCTTTGCTGGAGCTGGGCGCCCTCCCACTGCCCAGTATCATGGGCCAGGAGCCAGCTTCACCTGCTGAACAGCAGCCTGAAGGGGGAGAAGGCAGAGTGACTCCATCTGCAGCTGACCAGCCTTCCAGGACACAGGAGAAGGCGCTGATGAGAACCAGCTGGCTTCAGCCTTCTTCAGCAGAGCTTCCAGCAGCAGTCAGGTGCCGGAAACAACACTTGTAGTTCCTGGCCCTGCCTTGTTGCTCATCTTGACCCTTGATCTTTGGGTTTCCTGACCCCTGGACCGTCTGACCACGTGGATTGCTGCTCTCCCAACCCTAGGACTGGACCTGACTTTGGATGCTGACTCTGCCTCCAGGCAAATTCCCTCTAAGAGACTCTTCTGGTTGGCTGGTCTCCCACTCCCCTAAGCTCTGCACGTTGTTGCTCAGCAACAAGACCACGACACCCACTGGCTGAGGAACGGAGAGGCCGTGCCTTGCTCTGGGAGCAGGGAGCAGTTTCCTCCTGCGCAAGCCCCATTTGAGGCTCACACAGCAGAATCTCTTACTGGGAGGAAATGTCCCACTTGTTAAGCAGTAGGGACGAGGGCAGGAGCGCAGCTTGGGTTTCCCACTTGGAGCATTTGCATGTTTTGGGCTAGCCCGGAATGCATGAAAGCTGGCGGACAGGTGAGCGGGTGGGAAAGGTGTTTCCAGGATGGTATGCTTGCTTGGGGGCTCTCAAACTCCCCCCTGAACCCCCCTGCCTTTCAGCAGATGCTGGAGGCTTTGCCACTGTGTCTGGTGCTGCAGAGGTCCTCCTCTCTGCTTGCAGCCCCACCCCCTTCCTTCCTCGCCCAACCCCAAATCAAAGTTGTACTTGGGATACAGGACGCTTCTGAGATGGGAAAGGTACATGGTCACCCGGAGGGGTAATAAGGAACATTGTTGTGGTAGTTGTAGTCGGGACACACTTTCTGCACGAGCCTGTAGTCTATGCTGTAGAAGGTGATATAGATACAGATGACCTTGAAGGGCTTGGAGCAAACCCAGGAGACCTGGCTCTGCGTGTGGTTCAGGTAGCAGGTTTTGGAAGGGTCATAAGTGCACAGGGTGGTCTTCTTGGCTTTGTCCACTTTCTCGTACTCCACCCGGCAGTTGAAGATCTTGGATTCTTTGGCCTCGATGAAGATCTGCTGTTCGAGGTCAAACTCCACAGCTTTGTTGGGGGGCACCAGGCTGACGGAGATGTTTCCCTGCCCGGTGGAGTTGTGCCGGAAGAAGACGTTGACCGTGCCGTTCCCGTGGTCGACCACTTTCCCTGTGATCAAGAGGTTCAGCTTTACCGTCTTAATGTTGGAGTAGAAATCACCCCAGCCAAATATTTTCTTGAGCCGTCCGGGGTTTCCGATGGAGTCCCTCCGGCCGCGGGGCTGCACGCCCTGGCTGTGCTTGGACAAGCTCTCTAAGACGTCCCAAAACTCTTGGGCGTTGTTGGAGGCCAACTCCAGGAGACTGGTGTTCTGGAAGTGAGATTGGGCTGCAGAAGGTTTCAAGGAGAGCTGGCCTTTTTTCTTTTGTACCCGGGATCTTGGTTGCTCTTTGGGCGACTTCCCACTTTCCTCCTCCTCTTCCTCCGTTGCCTCGTCTTGGCCACAAATCACCTGCATGGAACAAGATGAGATCATGATGTCCTAAAGCACTGCCTTTTCTTATGGCTGTTGTTGTTTGACTTACCCCCTCCCCTGCCTTCCTTTATGGCAGTGGTTCTCAACCTTCCTAATGCTGTGACCCTTTAATACAGTCCCTCATGTTGTGGTGACCCCCAACCATAAAATTATTTTCGTTGCTACCGTATTTTTCGCTCTATAAGATGCACTTTTTCCCTCCTAAAAAGCAAGGGGAAATGTGTGTGCGTCTTATGGAGTGAATGCAGGCTGCGAGGCTAAGCCAGAAGCCAGAACAGCAAGAGGGATTGCTGCGCAGTGCTCCTTCTTGCTGTCCTAGCTTCTGGCTTAGCCGTGCGAAGCCTCTTCAGGGCATGGGGAGCCTTCATCCCGCTGCCCTGAAAAGGCTTCGCGCAGCTATCCCAGAAGCCAGAACAGCGAGAGGGATCGCTGCACAGCGCTTCCTCTTGCTGTTCTAGCTTCTGGGATAGCCCCTCAGTCCCTTCCCCCAACTCCCGGAAAAGCCCCCAAGAGCCGCGCTCCCTTTAAAGAATATTTTTTTCTTGCATTCCCCCTCTAAAAACTAGGTGCGTCTTATGGTCAGGTGCGTCTTATGGGGTGAAAAATACAGTACTTCATAACGGTAATATTGCCACTGCTATGAATCGTAATGTAAATATCTGATACGCAGGGTGTATTTTCATTGTTACGAATTGAACATAATTAAAGCATAGTGATTAAACACAAAAACAGTATGTAGTATATGTATATATATATTTTTCGTGGTGTGGGCACCGTTCCCCCCCACCACTGACATTTCCATCCCCTCCCTCACCACAGCGAAACCTCCCCCTCCTCCCAGTGTAGCAAATCGCCGGCCAATCGCCTGCTAAGGTTTGAGGCCCTGGCCAATGGGCGAGCGGCGGCTGCACGTGGCCGAGAGGAGGAAGGGGGCTGGGCTGAGCTGGCCGAGCACATTTCCAGCAGTCCCTCATCGGAGCAAGCTGTTTGCCGCCGCCGCTCATGCTGCCGCCTTGTGCAAGCAGCAGAGGCTGTCGGCGGTGGAGGAGCCCACCCCCCAAAAAGCTTGCTGACCCCTGGTCTTAGGCGACTCCTTTGAAAGGGTCATTCGACCCCCAAAGGGGTCGCGACCCACAGGTTGAGAACCGCTGCTTTATGGGCTCGTGGGCACCTTTGGCTATTTGAAAATCTGTTGTGGGCATCACCGCAATCTGCTGCAGCGGCCTGGCTAGTTGCTGTGGGATGTAACATCACTGAAGAAGCAGTCAAATACAACATTTCCTGTTTGTCCAGAGTGGACACGCAGGGGGATGTTGCTCCAGCCAGGAGGACTTCCTGTCACACCTGGTCTGGAGCATCCTCCCCCTGCGTGTGACCAGGGAGATGGGTGCGATCCTGGCAGACCTATAGGGCTAGTCATGCAGCCATCTTCCTCTAGACTCTCTTGACGCCTTTTTCTGTCTGCTGGCTCTCAGCCAGCCGCACACGGGCTCATCCCTCACAGAGGATGGGCCTACACTTTTCTCTATAACTGTTACTACAAGCTAAAGCACTGCCTTCAGGACCATACTGTGAACTGGATGTAAGTAACATTCATTACTTTTAAAAGAAGACTGTTGTGTCATTATTTTTTTAAAGAGGGAACTAAAGGGGATTTACCATGACAAGCCAGGCTCGATTGCTTAACTCAAATGATTCTCACGAATCCATCCACTAGCTTCCTGCAATGTACAAGGGAATGTGCTCTGCTACAAGCTCCCTAGCATGAGAGAGGAAGGATAATATTTAATCAATATATCCTCTCCTCCTATCCACAACATTCCCACAGTTTCAAAACACTAGTAGGTTGCCTGAGTACAAAGAGACCTGCGGTCTCATTTGAAGTGTCAATTTTCTGTCCACCAGAACACCCAGAAGGCAAAAATTAATTTCTCCAAATCAGCTCTAAGTAAATTCACTCCCCTGGTTTCTCTCTCTCCATTGGCTAGAATGACCCTCAGAATTCTTGTGCACTCTCTTGCACATGCTCATGCTTTTACATGTACCCCCACATCTGTCCAATCACAAGCATGCACCCAAAATATCCAACACACACTCTTTTCTGCTCCTCCTTCCTCCCATTGCCCCAACCAACGTCCTTTCGCTCCCCCAAATCCCCATCCCCCCTGTTTTCTGCTCTCCTCCCATGACTCTAGCTTCACCCTTTCCCTCTCTGCCATGTTACTTTCACATCCACCTTGCACCACCCACCCAATTTCTGCCCCTCCGTGCTCCAGAATTCCTACCTTCCCTCTTCCAATCCACAAACACGCAGCCACAACCAGCCTTCTCTCTCTGCCCTCCAGCCAGTCGAAAGGTCTGCTGCTGTCCAGTCTGAATGGAAGTGGACGTGTGCAACAGAGACCTTTGAGCAGCCCAAGGAGATGTGGAGGGAAGCAGATGGCCAAGTGGGCACTATGGCAACCCTCTGAGCTAAGCTTCTTCTCATGGGCACTTCCTTGGTCAATGCAGATAATGGGTTATCTAGATGAGGCATCCCCAACCTTCAGCCCTTCAGATGTTTGGGACTTCAATTCCCATCATCCCTGACCACTGGTCCTGATAGCTAGGGATCATGGGAGTTGTAGGCCAAAATATCTGGAGGGCCGCAGGTTGGGGATGCCTGATTTAGAGGATTTGCCTCATTGAGCTGCAGTGGGCTTTTGCTTTCCAGCTGTATATGGAAACTTTCTTGAATGGCCTTTTTACGCATGTAGAAAGATGTTGAGCAACTGAGAGTGAAAGTTTGGGCTGTACCTTGTGAGCGATTCATGTATATTAATGAATTGGCAAGCTTAAACTCCTAAGTTCAGGAATATTGAAGGACCTGCAGCTATACCGGATATATATATATATATATATATATTTGCTTTCGTAGATTTTCACGGGTACAGGAATGCAGGTTTTGGTGTCCTCGGGTATCTTCCGTGTAAAAGTTGGGGTGTCTAGGTGACGTTTCGACGAGGTCTCACTCGTCATCTTCAGGCTGGTGTTTTCGGCTTCTTGTTACTGGAACAGAGCTCTGTTCCAGTAACAAGAAGCCGAAAACACCAGCCTGAAGATGACGAGTGAGACCTCGTCGAAACGTCGCCTAGACACCCCAACTTTTACACGGGAAGATACCCGAGGACACCAAAACCATATATATATATTATATATATATATATACACACCTCTGGTTACGTACTTAATTCGTTCTGGAGGTCCGTTCTTAACCTGAAACTGTTCTTAACCTGAGGCACCACTTTAGCTAATGGGGCCTCCTGCTGCTGCCGTGCTGCTGCTGTGCGATTTCTGTTCTCATCCTGAAGCAAAGTTCTTAACCCGAGGTACTATTTCTGGGTTAGCGGAGTCTGTAACCTGAAGCGTATGTAACCTGAAGTGTATGTAACCCAAGGTAAAGGGACCCCTGACCATTAGGTCCAGTTGTGACCGACTCTGGGGCTGCGGCGCTCATCTCGCTTTACTGGCCGAGGGAGCCGGCGCACAGCTTCCGGGTCATGTGGCCAGCATGACAAAGCCACTTCTGGCGAACCAGAGCAACGCATGGAAACACCGTTTACCTTCCCACCGGAGCGGTACCTATTTATCTACTTGCACTTTGACGTGCTTTCGCACTGCTAGGTTGGCAGGAGCAGGGACCGAGCAACAGGAGCTCACCCCGTCGCGGGGATTCAAACTGCCAACCTTCTGATCGGCAAGTCCTAGGCTCTGTGGTTTAACCCACAGCGCCACCCACATCCCAACCCGAGGTACCACTGTATATATATAGGCAGACAGGTCCCTGCCTCAAGAAACTTACAAAAGGGAGAGCTAAAGTACATGGAAGAACAATAAGCAAGTGAGTTGAACCTACCTACCTAGACTTCACTTTGGATGGGAGATGGAAGACTGTGCTAAAAGTTGCACAGAATGCATTTGGAAAGAGACATTAGGATAAACTATGGTTTATTTTGTTGGGAATGAGCCTAGCCTTGCTAAAAGCTTGTATGCTCTTCCCTTCCCCCTTCCCCCTCCCCCACCTGACACCACATCCAATTAACCACAGTTTTAGCCTAACCCACCTCACAGGGTTGTTGTGGAGATTAATTGCGGCTGAGAGGCGGTGACTGGCCCAAAGTCACCTGGTGAGCTTCATGGCTGAGTGGGGGGCTTGAACCCTGGTGTCTTTCAGGGTGAAACAACTGTGACCTCTTTTCAAGCAGTAATAATAATAATAATAATAATAATAATAATAATAATAATAATAGTCCCCCACCCATCTGACTGGGTTGCCCCAGCCACTCTGGGTGACACTTTGCTGGTGCTCAGCAAGACAAGATGCCTAGAGAAACAATAAGCAGCAACCTCCCTTTAAAAAAAAATAAAATAAAATAAAGCTTACATCCTCCTCTCTATGGATATGTCTCTCTGCTTTTATCTTTTAAAGCTGCTCCTTTGGCTTTGACGTATCACTGCAGTCGGGCACAGCCCACCCTCCACGTTGTAAAGGGAAAGGAAGCATTCCCTCTGACGGCGGATCGCGACTTTTGTTTATTGAATTGTCACAGTTAAGAGAAACGGCCTCTTTCCTCAGACAGGCGCACCACTGAGCTTTTGCCACAGGCGCACTAACATTTATTCAATTAATCAGTAAAAGGCCAGACAGTTAATTGATTGAAAGACCTCTAATAGCTTGACGGCTCCAGTGAATGGTTTGAAAGCTGAGAAGCGACAGAAATAATGGGTCGCGCCGCGTGTCATAAACCACTGCTGGTGGCCACAGTCATGCCATACATTTAAAACAGTGCCACAGTCATGGCTTGCCCCAAAGAATTCTGGGAGCTGTGGTTTGTTAAGGGGGCCAAGAGTTGTTCAGAGGACACCCCCCCCTTCCCCTCACAGAAATAACAATTCGCAGAGTGGCTTAGCAATCAACCATTTTCCCACAGGGAATT